TTTATTGTGAAACTCACCATATTGATAGCGTTCACTGGACCAATGCTATTCACATACATGTCTGTATGAATTAAGGTTGGTTTTACTGTAAAGAGAACCATAGAAATATGTTCATATGGACAGGTACAAAATTTTTATGTTCTAGTCTTTGTTTTCTAGAATAGATTTATTTAGCTACATTAGAAGTGATTTATTTGTAACTAATTTGGTACCAGTTACTAATTCACTATATCAGAATAACTATTTTGTTTTCACAGAAACATCTTCTTTTAAGTATGTAAATGCAATAAGCAAGCATAGCAGAATTTTGAAACTGATTACCCTTTTAAAACTATATACAAATTAAAAAATCAGAAAACACTGCTCTTAGCTTTTCTTCATTCTTCTCTCAGATATCATGAATTTTACCATTTTTCCTTTAAACTCTGAAATCTATTTGGGCACTGTTAACTGACTTGACTCATTTAGGAAAATAATTACTTAGTGACCCAGAAAAAAAGGTATTGGAAACATAAAGTAGTTCTAAAGAGCAACATGTAATATGAATTGTTTTTCAAATGTTTCTCCCTGTTGATTCCTTTTANATCCTGATAATTTTAGCTGTAAAGAAGTGTCAATGTTAGAATTTCTTTAATGGTTAAATGAGCAAACATTTGCATAGAGTATGCAGCAGTAGTATACTTTTTATCACCCTGTTTGAGAACAATTAAAGTTTCTCATCTCTCTTTTTCTGACTTAGAGTGTCTTTATTGCTAGCTTCGTAAAAACTGGTTTAAAGTTATAGTATAACCATATTATATTATATAATGTTATGTTATGTCATATCCCATTCTCTTCTCTATTGTATTTTACTCTATTATATTTTATCATGGACTCCAGTCTACTTTTATTTCAGATTTGGATAGAAAGTGTCATATAAGAACAAAGTTACATTTATTGTTACACCTGATGCACTATTTCCTCTGAGAAACATTTCTGACTTAAAGCAAACTATGCTATCCCCACACCATCAATATTCTAAGAAGCAGTAGAGTATTATATTTTACTTTATAGTAAGTAGCACTTGGCAAGTGCACAATGATTGTTAAATTATAATAGTATAGGATAATTGTATAACATAAAATTAATTTTATACATATGATCACATTTAATTCTCATCTCAAAAATCCTCTGCATTTAATTATCTTTACGCTACAAGAGAAGAAAAAAAAAAGATCTGAAATATTGTCTTTCTCTTCCAAACTATTGAAACTAATTCTTTTTGTTGGCATGTTCCTTTCTATTTCCATAAAATTTCCTTTCAAACATGCTAATAAAATGGACAAAAAAATTTATTGTGAAACTCACCATATTGATAGCGTTCACTGGACCAATGCTATTCACATACATGT